GGGGGGGGGGGGGGGGGGGTTGATTTTATAATCCAACCCAATTATGTTTTTTTCTTTCTTAATTTATCAATTTAAACATCAAAGATTATGTAAATATATTTTGATTTTACAAAAGAAAAAATTGTGGTTAAGGTTTGACATTAGTGCAATTTGTTTTCATGAAGTTTGAAAATTATGTAATATTGTTCTTACTTAATACCATTCTCAACATAACTTCAATTACTTTTCATTCAAAATAAATACGTTTTGGTTTTAAAAATATAGTTGATTAAGAATAAATGACGTACCGCTTTTGTTATACGACGGTCACATTCCTATACTTTCGCCTTATAGAGACGGTGAAGGGAGATTTGCAGATAATGAGAGTGAGCAGAAGTAAGGATTGTGATGGCCACATTTTATGCATTGATTAACATTATAGAAGTAAGAAGAATAATAATCAATAGGACATTAGAATCCTATGGCCACAAATGAAACATCAGAAGGAAACTTTGAACTCATTCATTCATTTATTCTCAGCAGCAGCAGCAGCATAAAGAGCTTTGATCTCTTCAACATCATCATAGCTACCAAGAAATATGGGAGATCTCTCATGTATCGTCTTTGGAACTAACTCAAGTGCCTGCAAAATCAAGATCAAAACTACATTATTTTTTTTCAAACAAGAATTCCTCAAGGTTTATGCCGGGTACACTGTACCCTTATTTTGCCAGTGAATGCTTGACCTCCTGCTTCCTCCATCAAGAACGCCATTGGAAAAACTTCATACAACACACTAATGCCAAAAAAAACAAGGATACCCCATACATAATGTCATCATACAGTAAGAAATAGTTCGAGTCGAATTGGAGAGCATATGTAGAATTTCGCCACATACCGCAATTTTCCGTTGGGGCTCTTCTTGTCACCGGGGTACAAAAAGATACCACCATAAAGCAATGTACGATGCACATCAGCAACCATGCTGTTAATCAAACCATTTTTTACCATCAGAACTGAGTTTCATATGTGCACCAAAGACCAAATAAACAATTTGATGACCGGAAGAAATGATTCAAAACTTTTAACAAATGCGTAGGTACCTTCCAACGTATCTTAGAGACTTTGGGGGTGATCCATCTGTAGGAAACTTGCAATTCTCTACATACCTAAACAACAAAACGAGTTAGGAGTTCTCATACAACTTATATATACCATTTTCAAACACAATTCAAATCAACTCGATGTACTTTGCAGTCGGACCATCCCAGTTCTTAGCATTTCCTTCATTCACTGAATATATCTTTCCTTTCTTTGGAACCTGCAGATGGTTACAGAAGAAATGAATCAAATACAAGACAATCAAAAGAAGCAAAATATGATAGCATTAAATACGAGGTGCAATACTAAGATTTCGCCATCAAAGAATGCCAAACAAAGAGAGGAGAAGAAGAAACACAAAAACATAAGCAAGAAATACTTCACCTTAAGGTCTGGGTGGGTTAAAATGAACTCCCCAAGAGAAGGGTCAAGAGTGAATCCATTAACACCAGTTCCAGTACTTAAAACGAGCTGGAAAACAAAAGGATTAAATGTTAATATTAGCATTCAATCAATTTAAGACTTGGGTTACCATGGTTTTAGAATGACCAGCTCCAAAATTTATTGATTACAACAATATGTACAAAAACTGAAATAAACAATGAATACAATAGACTGAGATTGTACATACTGTGCAAGAGCTGCCATACAAGCAATAGCCTGCTGCAAC